AACTACCTCTCTCTCTCTCTCTCTCTCTCTCTCTCTCTCTCACACACACACACACACACAGATAGAAACACGTTCTCTTTTGGCTTGGCAGGTGGAGACAGGTTGTTGTTACTCTGGATTTTACTACAACAAATAGAGAGGAAGCCTGCCACTCCATCGCTTGCAGAGAGAGGGCGTTAATTGGAAGAGAGCAACTCCACAGCCATGAGAAAGAAAGATGGTTTTCACCAAGGGAAAATAGAGGGGATCTCTTCCTATTTTCATAATTATACATTTACCCAGTTACTGTCATCCCTTGACCACAATGCCTTCCCCTTTATTGCTTGTTGCATATACCAAACACAATTTCCATTCAAAAACACAATTGAGAAAGCATTACATAAAACAATGTGCAATTAAGTAAAATTTCAACAAATGTATTACAAAGGCAAGAACTTAGAATTTACATAAACACCACAACAAATAATTGTAATCTCGAAGTTACAAACTCAAAGATGGACCAAATCACCAAAACATGGAACCATGGGTAGCCATTAAACAATAAATGTTGCCCAAGGTTACCTCCACAGGAGGTGCCACACCATAATGCCATATCTCTGCCTTCAATAGCACTAGGATTAAGGGCTCATCTAAGCTCCAAATTAGGAAGCCACAAGAAAGACCCTGATGCACACGAATTGATGTGTTGGATAGGCTCTAATAGTGTTGGATAGGTTGTTGGAAATTCCACAAAGTGGCATTCCAATATGGTATGCTTAATGGCGATCGACTTCCTTCAACATGGGTCAAGGCTATATCCAACCAAGGAGCTCAACACGCATTACCGAGAATGCGCAAATGGATGAGGGGTGACAGAAAATAGGTGAAAGAGAGCTTACTTCAGTCAGCTTGAGAAGCTCTAAAGCTACAAAGGAGGTGGACATATGATGCGTCGACGTAGGTAACAAGATGCTCACTATGGGCTACACAGCACCATGCTCAAAGGATCACAGACCAAGGTTTAATAGCTCTGCACAATAAGGAACAAGAGACGATCACCAAGGTGGGGAGTGGAGTTAAGTGTGGTTTGAGCCTAAATTCAACCCTATTTACCCTTTATCTGAAACCATAAATAAATTTATGCTATAATTTCAGTTCAACCTACAGGAAAATCATTCTAGTTCAATCAAATTGCATGACAAGTGAGAACAAGTAGAGAGGGTGAAAAGTGGCATGCAAGGGTGGATCTCTCCTTTCATATAAGAGAGAGATGGAAGACTTTAAAAAACCCTCACTCTCTTACTTTAACGAACTCATACATATGAGTTAATCAAAGAGTGACATGGGTCCTGGGTTACTCTACACATGGATGAGAGATCTTATGACATTTGTCCCACCTTGAACCACTGTAAAATTGGCCTTTGACCCTTAGTCCATAATCACACAAGCCCTTAACAACAAATGCAAGTGTGCCAATTTCATTCCTAGAAGTGTTGTCACCATCGCGAGGCCCACAAATGGACCCATGCATGGGCCCATGAGAGGTCCATTGGCCATTAGGACCTCACATGTGCCAATGTTCCACTTGTTTGGGTCCTTGATCCCGTTTTCACATTTATTATCTTTTAACCATTTTTCCCATCTAGAAATTTCTTTATAAATTCGCAAACATCCAAAAATCACTTTTCAATGTTATTTATGAAATCAAGTTGGTTTGGGATTTTAGCAAAATTAGTAACGGATAACTAGGTCCCTCAGCTTCGAATGCTTTTATAACTAAGGCACTCCTCTTGGCTTACCTCAAAACTCATGACCATATTATCAAATCGACCCAACGAAACCCATAACCCACAATCTCAAGTAGAGGCTCATGATTGACCATCACAGCTGACCAAGAGGTGGTTGAATTCCAGAGTTTAGAGGATTACAAGGGCACCCCCCAACGACAAGCACATTGGGCACCAAGCAAGGATGATGGGTTCCTCCCTTCGCACATGTGGTGTGTCTATGCAACTGTTGTGCACTTCTCTTTGTAATACATAAGCTAAAATTTTGTATAAGGGTGCATTGTTTTATGTAAAGCCAATCTCAATTGCGGTTGAATACAAAATCATGTTGGGGCATATTAAAGGTGTAGATTAGGCTTTATTCCAATCATGGTTGAGTTCGTATTAGGTACCATTGGTGTGGCGCTTTGCCGCAGTTTTGGTAGGAAAAGGTAAGTTCATGGGTTTATCTAGACTTGTACAATGTTTTACGTTTGTTCTTACTTGAAGCACCATTGAACGCGCTCAACTCCCTCTGTGTGTACATACTTCTATGAGTATGAATGAAAATTGAGTTGAGGTGCCAAGGGATTGTAGCCCAAGAGATGACAATAAAGGATGTTATTCACAACAATAAAGTAGTTCTCATGGTTATATAGGAATCATGTATAGAGAAGATTGGCCCTGAATATCTCAGAGCTCATCAATATTGGCCGAAAACATGCAAATGAGGAACTCAGTGCATATACTTGATGGCGGTTTGTGCCCCAACAACCTCAAGTTAAAGAGAATAATGTCCTTGATAAATGTTTGGAAAGAGTAAAATCTCAATCTGTTGAAAGAGATTGTGAGTTACAAGATTCTCCTATGAGAGAAACGGAGGCACTAGAGGCATTAGCAGTATGGCCAACTTTCTAGACTTCTCTTTACAATATTCTTCACTAGATCATACATTGAATGGTTCTGACTTCTAACTTGACTTGGTCAAACAAAAAGCAGGATTTAGCCTATGACCACGTCGATTGGGACGTTCTAGACAAAGGTTAAATGGAGAATGGGCTTCAAACCTCACTGGAGAAAGTGGATACGTAGGTGTAATCGTCATCCCCATTTCTCTGTTGTTCTCATTAACGACTCCTGCCAGGGATTCTTCTCCTCCACCAGGGGAGTCAGGCAAGGCGACCCCCTCTTCCCCTTTCTCTTCGCCATCGCTAAAAAAAAATTTTTGCACATCCATCTCTAGGCTCTACCAGGTCAGCTTAGCGGAAGGTTTTAAATTCAGTGTTGACAGTCCTACCGTCTCCCACCTACAATATGCAGATGACACACTTTTCTTCTGCGAAGCTTCAATCAATCAGGTCGACACATTGCTCATTTCCTTTCACTCCTTTCGCTTTGCCAATGGCTTCAAGGTGAAATAGGTGAAATCTAAGACAATTGGGGTCGCCTTGGACCCCAAAACAACTCAAACTTTTGCCAACAGTTGGGGTTGTGGCATTGACTCCCTTCCCTCCACGTATCTTGGGCTTCCCCTTTACCACAGGAAACCCAAAAAGGCCCAGTGGAGCCAAATAATTGACAAATTTGAACAAAAATTGGCCACCTAGAAGGGCAGATATCTCTCCTCAGCGGGCAAAGCTACATATCAAAGCCACCCTCTCTAACGTCCCAATATACCCAATGTCCCTCTTCCATATGCCCGCCTCAGTGCCTCATCGCCTCGAACAACTAATGCGCAACTTCTTGTCGTCTGGAGATGAGGCTTCCAAAAAATATCATCTTATAGCTTGGAAAGTGTGCCATCAAAAGGCTTCCGGGGGCTTGGGGATTCGTAATTTACATAAGAATAATTTGGCTCTTTTAGGCAAGTGGTGGTGGAGACTTGCCAATCAAGGAGGGGTCAGCTTTGGCACCAAATCCTATGCCACAAATTCTGGCTCTCTTCCTTTCCCTTGTCCATCCCAAAAAGACATCCCCACGCGGACTCAGGGGTTTGGATCATTCGCTTTCACTCGAAGGAAGGAGCAAAATCTGAATAGACCTCTAGTTAGGCCATCTCCCCCTTTCTCTCCCCTTTCCACAACTTTTCCATCTGGCTAGGAATCCCGAAGCCTCCATTGTTGAGCTTCTTCTTGTTGTCAAAAACTCTAGACCTTGGGATCCCGAATTCCGCCGACCTTTGCAGGATGTTGAGCTTCCAAGTTCCAACCTTTCTGGAACTTTCCTCTCTCCTCCATTCCTTCCTCTCTCCTCCATTCCTTCCTCTCTCCTCCATTCCTCCCTCTCACCCATGGGGAGGACCAAATCATTTGGACCCCATTCTCTTCAGGAATGTTTCCAACTTCTAACTCGACTTGGTCAAACAAAAAGGAGGATCTAGTTATGTCCAAGACATAGAGGCTTGTCAAAAAGCCATAGATCTACACTTTTAAATTCATAGCCATCATAGGATGGGTCCACCTCCTTTCTGATTTGAAGAGATGCAGATTGGAAATCGATATCTAAATGAGGTCTAAATAGAAGCTTTAAGAAGTTCATGCTCTCCTAGCAGTTTGGTTGGATCCAAAGCAAGCAGTTAACTTAAAATGTTCAAAGCAGCCTCTAAGATTGGAAGAAGAACAAAATTTGGAGTTTTAGACGTGAGAAGGAAGTGTTAAAACATGTGTTTTATCTTTATATAACTGTAATAAAACATGATTCTTATCCAAAAGTTATTAGAAGGAAATGCTTATATATATATATATACTTCTGTCAGGGCCGATGGAACAGTGTAAGCCTAACGGCCCGTATTGAATCTGGGCCGATCCAATGATCACGATTATATTTCGCAATTAAATTTTAATGTTTTTTCTATAAATCTAAATCACATGAAATTTGGAGAGTCTATTCTTCAAAAATAGTACAATCTAATAAAAATATCAAAAAATAATAATTCGCATAAAATAACTTGACCAAAACACCCTTAAAATGTTTCATGGGTATTTTAATCAATTTATTTTATGTGAATTGTTTTTTTAATATTTTTATTAGGTGCGTCTTGATGAGAAGAGTTGATGCTCCAAATTTCATGTTATTTGGATTTATATAAAAAATATTAAAATTATATTACCGAAATATAATCCTGACCTTCAGATAGGCTTGATTCAATCCAGGCCGTTGGGGTTATACTATTCTATCAGCTGGTGGGCTG